GTGAATTGCTTGTAACTGGTGGATTGGTCGGCTGTACATGAACTGATATGACCCGAGACTGCATGGTTTTGCAGCTACTGGAGACGTTAATTCTTCCCTTTGTATCGGCGGCAAGTTAATCCTCGTCGTGTCTGACCTAACACCTGACCCACACCACATGAGCTCACTGGCGTACTTGTTTGAAGTTGTTTCCTTAATCCTCAACAGGTTACAGGTTGTGTGTGGCGGGGTGGGGGGCGCATAGCAAGGGTGTACGTAGCTCATGACGTGGCCGTGATGATGTGGGTCAGGTGTTAGGTCAGACACGACAAGGATTAACTTGCCGCCGATACAAAGGGAAGGATTAACGTCTCCAGTAGCTGCAGATATGGGTGATGAGCAGACCCAAAAGTGCAGCCCCCAAAAGTGCGCCCGGGGCGTGACCGCCGCCCCCCCCTAGCTACGCTAGTGAATATGATATCCTTAAATGTCAAGCTGAATAATAAGGTAAAAAATAAGTATTTTACTGTACGTATATGAAGGGTACTGGTATTAATAAGCTCAAATTATTACACTTTTTATCCCCAAGTCTCTTTGTACAGGACTAAACAAAGATTTTATTTAAAATACTTTGTAACATTTGATATCATAATATTCTGATCACTGGGGCTAAATTTACAGATTTTTCCCTGTGAAAAAGCCATAATTTTGAGCAGCATATTACTGTACTCATTTTGTACTCAAATATACTATGCTAAAGGACTAAAAATTTTATCTCTTGTGCAAAATATGGGATGTTTATACTCACATTAATTGCTATCTTGCAAGAATTCCAGCAATACAAGTCATATTCTACTAAATCAAGTCTGTGAAATTTTGAGAGAAAACTTTAACGCCCATATTATTAAACGACATTTTCCCTTGAAGAGGTTCGTCGTGTTTCAACCCGAGTTTTAAACTAATTGAGTCCTGAGGGACACCGCAGTACAGTACTTAATGGGGTGGTGTGGCGGTAAAATTAACTAATTCCAATAAAATTAATTTATAATATTGGAATTAGTTAATTTTACCGCTACACCACCCCGTTAAGTACAGTACTGCGGTGTCCCTCAGGACTCATTTAGTTTAAAACTCAGGTTGAAACATGACGACCCTCCTCAAGGGAAGATGTTGTTTAATAATACGGGCGTAGGCCTTGAGCAACCTTCATCCCATTAATCCCCTACTGGTTGGGAGGTGGAGTGTTAACAGCCAGGAGGGGAGATTAACACATAATTAGTTGTCAGTGGCTCAAGGATTATAAAAGGCAGGGAGTTTAAGTATTTTACTTATAAAATGGCACTGACTTGACTTAGCAGAATATAACTTGCATTGCTGGAATTCTTGCAAGATAGCAATTAATATGAGTATAAACATCCCATAGTTTGCACTAGACATAAAACTTTTAGTATTTAACTTAGTACATTTGAGTACAGGTTGTGATAATTTATACAGTTGTTCAGCAGTTGTGGTTGCAGTTGCAAAGTTTTGTGACATCACTAGTGTATAATGTGTCCCCATATGCCCTGGTTTATTCGATGATCAGTTGTCTAAGTGCAAAAGTAGCCAAATCGAGCTATCATGTATTAATTAATTTTAAAATATAAATTATAAAGTAAAATGTTATAAGACAATGGTTTAGTAGTGCTGTTAATGTGTGTGCTGTGTAAGTGTTTAGGCATGTCACCTCACCACCTGACTCCATCACCTCACCCTTTGCCTCGTTAGCTCAGCTCAGAATTACATTGATTTATTACTGCATTATTTTACATTTTTAGTAATTTATGTACATTTAAAGAAATATTTATATTTGTACAGTAATTATAAATAAACCCATAGCAGAAAAATCCAGCGTTACCCAAGCCATTGGTTTTCCCACCCATGCACCAACCATGTGAGTATGTGGCTAAACATGATGCAAACTTTCATAACACAGGGAACACTTGTCCCCGGGCCCTGAGCAGAAAGGTTTGGAGTGATTCTCTTGCAATTTTCTCAGATGTTCTGGTAATTGTGCATTATTTCATAATCAATATTTTCTCCGAGACCCAGAAATAAAAATTTGGATAGATTTAAAAATTTTTTTTTAACAATTTTCAGAAAATGCTCCTGATTTTCAACACCGGAATTTGTTCCAAACTTGGGATTTAGGGAATTTTCCAGAAAAATTATGAGCATAGTATTTGAATTCCAGCTATTAGAGAGTTCTGGGTATGAGGGATTCTGGTTAACGGAGATATTATTTATACAGGCAGCCCCTGCGTTACGGAAGCCCAGGTTACGGAATTTCGCTCTTACGGAACTTGTAAATTATGACCGATACTTTCGCATTACGGCCCGTAAATCTGCCCTCACGGAAATTGGGGTAAATTTTAACAATTTAAAAAAAAATCACTATATAAAATTATAATTTTTTGTATAAAATGATAATTTGTTTGGTGTGGATTTCTTGGTGTTTGCTACCGCCAAGCGTGGCATCGCCACGAGGAGCCAATTTTCCAGGGACGGAACCCTTTCTGTAACGCGGGGGATGCCTGTACATGTTCCCTAATCATGCTTTACACCCTTAGCACCTTCGTAGGGTTGGTTAGAATACATTCCTAGTATAGCAGCCTTTTTCAATCATGCTAATGAGCCTTCTACCCATGCTAAACCAAAATTGGTCACAGATTGGTGATGTTGATGATAATGAATTTGGAACATATGAATTTTTTCCCTTCTTCTCGTCTACCTGAATTTTTACTCTGGGCTGACTTGGGAACCATCAGGTCCTTGACCATTTTCAGCCTTTGACCAATACATGAAATATGTTTCTTCATTGATCCATTGGGATATCTTTTATATTAGCCTTTTTGAGATTGTTGTAATGACAAAAAAATAAATTTAAGATGTAAATTACACAAACACCATAGTATGGGTGTGACTCATGTAGGTTAGGCTCCAGGCCATCATGTGAACCTTTGACATGGCATAATTGTGAAAGTGTATGGTTCCCCTAACAACTGAATTTTACATGTTGAGCCTGTATTATTCATAGCAATTTTCAGTTTAATTATAGGTGAAATTGGCTTTTGTGGGTTGGCTTGCGAATCTTAATACCATTTATAACATTGTGTCAATAAGAAATTTTAGAACACAACCAGTTACTGTCCTGGAGACTTTCAGTGCCTCTAGAGTATATATTAATATTATGTATTTACTCTGTTGTTTACTCAATTTTTTACATTACAGTATTACCCCGCTTAACGCGCTTTCACTTAACGCGTTTTCGCATATACGCGGTGCCTTGCCAAAGCTGAACTTTCACTTAACGCGGCATTTTTCATCATATACGCGGTGAGTGTGGTGAGTGTCGGTGAGTGTCGGTGAGTGTCCGGCTCGAGAGCTATTTTTAGATTCGCACCACCCCCCACCCGCCACCCTGCCTGACTGCCTGTTTTAGCTCATAAAATTCATACAAATTACCCAGCCAGAATATAATTTACATTGCTGGAATTCTTATAATTTGGTGATCATTTTGAATATAAACAACATATATTTTGCATTAAACATACAATTTTTAGATAAAAATTGTTCTCTAGGTAATTATGTTATCTTTTGTCCAAAATATATGACATTTATATTCAAAATATTCCTGGTCTTACAAGGAATCCAGCAATGTCAATTATATTATCCTAACTTTAGTTTGAGGTATTATTTATTAAAATTTAGTGGTTATCCCACACATCTCCTTGGGACGGTTGGTGGGGGGTGGGGGAGGGAGGGACCGACCGACCGACCATCTGTTACCCTGTGAAGAATTATTTTTTTTTTTAACTGAAGATATTTGTTTTAGCTCATAAAATTCATACAAATTACCCGGTCAGAATATAATTTACATTGCTGGAATTCTTATAATTTGGTGATCATTTTGAATATAAACAACATATATTTTGCATTAAACATACAATTTTTAGATAAAAATTGTTCTCTAGGTAATTATGTTATCTTTTGTCCAAAATATATGACATTTATATTCAAAATATTCCTGGTCTTACAAGGAATCCAGCAATGTCAATTATATTATCCTAACTTTAATCTGAGGTATTATTTAATACTAAATGTTAAAAACTCTTGAATGGAGGATTGGTGGGGGGTGGGGGGAGGGTTGGGACTGACCACGCGGTTGGAAGAGGGGGGGAAGGCAAGGTGGGGTACTTTGATTGACAGATAGTGTCGAAGAATATTTTTTTTTTTTTATTAACTGAAGATATTTGTTTTAGCTCATAAAATTCATACAAATTATCCGGCCAGAATATAATTTACATTGCTGGAATTCTTACAATTTGCTGATCATTTTGAATATAAACATCATAGATTTTGCATTAGACATACAAATTTTAGATGTAAAGTTTATTCTGAGTAAATATGTTATCTTTTGTGAAAAATATATGACATTTATATTCAAAATATTCCTGGTCTTACAAGGAATCCAGCAATGTCAATTATATTATCCTAACTTTAGTTTGAGGAATTATTTATTACTATACCTGGTTTTCCCCCAAAAATTTCTCAGAGGGAAGAGCCAGTGAGTGTAGTGTGAGAAGAGGGGGAGGGAGTTGAGTCCATTATTTGAATGGACATTAACTTGGGGACTGTATTTCTCTATTTCTCTTAAGTATTAATTGTGTGCATGTACCATCATAAAATTAAGATGTTATTTTTACTACAACATAGTTATTTGTCGTCAAAAAGTGGAGTTTGGGGGTCGGGCTGGGTTCTATTGGAATTAATCCCATATGTTCTGTTATTCACTTAACGCGGTTTTCACTTAACGTGGGACCCTCTGGGTTCAATTGACCGCGTTAAGTGGGGTACAACTGTAATATTTTTATAAGGGGAAACTGGTAATATTCTTTCACACCACAAACACCCCTTCAATTTGTAACATAAAGTGAATGGATATTAAAGACTTATCTAACATTAAATACTTTTTATTCTAGGGTAAAGACAATTGTGTAGTGATGGCAACTGGATATGGAAAAAGTCTGTGCTATCAGTTCCCAGCAGTGTACAGTGGTGGAGTAGCAGTAGTAGTATCTCCACTGATTTCTCTTATGCAGGACCAGGTGTTGGCTCTGAAGGTAAGCAGCGAGTGTACTTGTGTGGTAAATATTTTGGGTTACTGGGCTTGTGATTAATTAGGCATGGCTGTGGAACAGTAGTATGAAAGGCATAGTGCTTGTAAGTGATTAATTTTTAACTGTTAGTGGGTTTAAGGGGAGCGTCCAGCTGAAGCACAAAATTCGTTAATAATTGATAAATCAATTTCCTGTCAGCAATTAAGGACACCAGATACATTGTTGCTATACCCCTGAATCAGTTCTGCCTAATCCCTAATCCCTGATACCTGATTTTTACATTATATTTTTATAAATTTTCAAAATCCTATTTCTCCATAATTTTTTGCTAGATTATGTTGAAATTCTTGTGGAGTATAGGCAATTCATTCCTCTTGAACATGACATAAATATTTCTGATTTTTGCTTTTCTATTGAGTGCATAAATTTTTTTCCTAACTTACCATTTTTTCCTCCAAATATTTCTAAAGATAAATCAGCAAATAATAAACCAAGCCAAATATAAAGAAAATCTATATGTTCAGCTATGCACAATATGTTATTCTACTACTTATTTTTTTTGTTATTAGAATCGGCCCATTAATGGCTGAGACTTAGGAATTTGAAGGTTAGAAAAACTCTTTCTGAGATACGAGCCTCTCCCTTTCTACTTTTGTGTGTAACTGCGGTGTACAAGACTCTGGTCCTACTACTAGTTAGCTGAGAAAGTTGCCAAATACTAATTTTTACCAAGTGATTGGTACAATATTACTTTCTACAGCCTTTGCTACATAAACAAAAGGGTCCTCTTAATGAAGGGGGTAGAACAATTATGCATAGCTACATAAATTTAACGAATTATGCAATCAAAATACGCCAGCAGATAGCCATAGGCAACAGCTATCCTCAGGGAATTTTTCTGGATAATTTCGTAATTTTCTGATTTTCATTGTATTTTCAGCTAGACGCTCCCCATAACCTTATATCATCCTAACTTATTTGGGTACGCTCTTTTAATCATTTTCCTTTTCCTTCCATGACTGATTTTGTATAGGTTTCTTGGTTTATATTCTAAGACTGTAGATTGTAATTTGTGACTTGACTCTAAAATCCATTTTTGTAATTGAAAGAGAGTAGATAGCTCATTTGTCCAGTCTTCTTGTGTGGAGCAGCAGCACCAAGATTTAGCTTGATAAGAACACTGATGGCTGGTTGATACCTAGAATGATATTTTCTGTGATTGATGATGACAAAGAATGGTCATTAGAGTGATTATTTAAAAGCTCTTAAGTCTTCATGGCCTTAACGAGCAGCATCCACATCTTTAGGAAATCCTTTTCCCCCAGGAAATTAAGGATTGGGCTATACAGTAGGTAGAAAGATAATATCATAAAAGCACTACCATTGTGCTCTGGCACTTTCAGTTTGAGAGAGGTGGCTTTCATGCCTATCCAGTCATTTTTTATCATGAAAAGGATTTTACAATTACATTGTATTCCCCAAATTCTGTTACAAAAACCGTAGCTAACTTGATGTTTAAAACATTTCCCTTTGTTTTCAGGCATGCAATATCCAAGCCTGCTTTCTTGGAAGTGCACAAAAAAATAGAGAGGTGTGTGCAGATATGCTTGCAGGTGTTTACAGAATCATTTATGTAACACCAGAATATGTTGATGGTAAGTTTGTTTTTCTTTTACATTCACACATTACATTTAATATTGTAAATACAGTAGATTGTTTACAATTGTTCCCACAGGAGAAGTGTTCTCTATAATTTAACCTGTCTTGAATGACTTGAGTATGCCTGGCAAATATTGGAAATTTCGGAAGCCAGTGAATCTCTAACCAATGGAGGCCGGGGTTAATCCAAAAATTAGCCATCTAGTGTACAACAATCTCGGTCCTTAAAAGGATATGAAGAAGCAGCGTAAGGCAGGTAGCCAATGAACCCTGGTTGTCACAGTTCACAGGCAACTTGCTCTTCACTTGCTTTGGCTCAGTTACAAAGTTTTAAGCAGGACCAACTTTATTACCAGCAACTGAACCTCACAGGCAAGATGCATGTCTCTGGACTGCATTTCATGGGAAAAGTTAAGTGTGAGGCCTCGTATGTTCATGAGAGGTTTCATATTAGGCTACTCAGTTCATAGAGGTCTGTCATTTTCACACCCGACTAACAGCAAGGGTCACTCAGGCACACTGATAAAAAGTATAGATAAAAAAAAGATGCAAATAATTTTAGTCTGCTTATAATTTAGTGAGTACTGTTTAAGTAAACCTCGAAGATCCGGACCCGGTAAATCCGGCTTTGGGAAAAAATGGGGGGGTTTTGGGCTAAGAAGCCTCCCTAAGAAGCATTCCCAAAACAGAGCAAAGAACATTTTAGGCCCGTGGGCGCTGGTTGACCAGTCAGTCGCGCTGGACACAGGTGCCCGAGGAGGTGGGAAACAAACAGTTGTCAATTGTTGTTTGTGGGAATATTTCATTCAGTCTAGTAATGATGCATTGTTTATTATTATGTTATCGTAGGTAAATTAGACTACAAGATATGTATTTCTTACGTATGGATTTCGATCGTACGCCTGGCGACTGGTACGGGTAAGGGGAGTGAGTGAGTGAGTGAGTCGAGTGGTTGCTAGTTGAGTGTCGTCTACACTTAACTCTCCTCCCTCCCTGCAATATTTCACTGGATTTACTGTTATTATTAGAGTTTACTGATACAATAATGCTTTATAGTGATTAATCATGGCATTGTAGCCAGGTTAGACTCGTCACTGCAACCACCAGGCTACTGGGCCAAGCTGTTAGGTGTTATGGTTGTTTTTTAACTCAAATTTTCGGGTAGATATTCGTAACTTTCTTCATCTATTTTTATTCATTAACATGCACACGCCATCCTAAATACATATTGTAAAAAAAGTAAAAGAAATAATTGTCCTAAAGGCAAACCTGTACTCAAATGTACAGTACAGTACTAAGTTAATAACTAATAATTTTATGTCTAGTGAAAAGTATGGGATGTTTGTACTCAAATTAATCACTATCTTACAAGAATTCCAGCAATGTAAGTTATATTCTGCTAAGTCAATTCAATGACATATTTTAAGCGAAAAACTTAACTCCCTATATTTGACTGATAACTACGCACTTGGTAATCTCCCTTCCCGGCTGTCAATATCTCGCCTCCCCCTCTCCCCTCCTCCCAGCCAGGGTTAAGGTAGTTTTAGGCTTTAAGTTTTATCTTATACAGTGTCAAAGACTAGACTTAGCAGAATGCAACTTGCATTGCTGGAATCCTTGCCTTGTACAGTATAAACATTGCATAGTTTGCACAAGAGATAAAAATTGTAGTCCTTTAGTGTAGTACATTTGAGTACAAAGTGAGTACAGTAATATATTGCTTAAAATTATGGCTTTTTCACAGGAAAAGGTCTTTATAACTAACCCCAGTGGTCAGCATATTATGTACTATATTTTTGGTGTTTTATATACTGTATCATTATTTATCATTTTTATACATTTACAGTCATGCGCCGGTTAACGTCCTAGATACGTTCTTGGAAACGTGACGTTAACCGAAATGGACGTTGTCCGATCATCACATAAACTTTGTATTTATATTTACGTGTATGTGGAATACAATATACGTACATATACACTTTTACTCTTAAATCACTACTGTAATGTGATACAGGTGATTAATTTTTATCTCTTGTGCAAAATACATGACGTTTATATTAAAATTATTCACTGTTTTACAAGGTTTCCAGCAACACTGGGCAGATGGGGGAGAGGGAGGGAGTGAGCGAGCGAGGGGGCGTGGGGGGAGGGGAGGGAGTGAGCGAGCGAGGGGGCGTGGGGGGAGGGGAGGTAGTACGTTTGACAGTTGGCACAGGCCCAGGTCTAACGTTTGTATATTTATCAGTTCTTAAGTGACTAAGCTTCTCTCTTATAAAAAGCCAGTGAATTGACCTGGGTGAATATAATTAACATTGTTGGGATTCGTGTAAGATGCTGATTAATTTGAATATAAACATGCTGTAATTTGCACTAGACATAACAATTTTAGTACCGTAATCAAATTAGTACATGTACACTCCAGCTTTGCACTAAGGTCATTTATTTCTTTTACGTTTTTATTAATATGGTGTGTGCATGTAAATGGATGAAAATAAATGAAGAAATTTATGTAAATCTACCCAAAAAACAGTTGAAAAAATTTATATTATAAAATGTACTACAGTATTGTACACTAATGTACTACTTTTTTATAGCTTAAGCAAATTATATGACGCTTATATTTAAATTAATCTCTGTCTTGCAAGGATTTCAGCAATGCAAATTATATTATCCTAACTTTAGTCTGGGATATTATATAAAATAAACATAAAGAAATCGCCAATCTTTTGTCTGGGAACACAAGGAGGGAGGTAGCCAGCAAGCGTGGGAAGAGGGGGGGGGGAGCAGGGGGGGTTGCGGAAGGTGAGGTGACAGAGTGTCTGGTGTTTGTTTATTTATTTGAGATAAGATGTGACAGTTGGCACTGAAGGCCTGGGTGTTTATTTATCATTACTTAAGAGTGACTAAGCTCTTTTCATAATTTGCCACCCAAACGACCTGGGTGAATATAACTTACATTGCTGGGATTCTTGTAAGATAGTGATTTATTGGAATACCTGTATAAACAATTTATATTTGCAATAGACATAACAATTTTAGTACATGTACAGTACAGGTTGGCACTTATGTCCATTGTTAACCGAGGGACCACTGTATTGCAGTGTACTTGTACTGTACAATATTGACTAAATTCACTAGATAACGTACACAACTAATGGTTGGTAAAACTTGTCAAGTAAGTGAGTGTCAAGTCTGTCAGTATGAGTGGCATGTGTGTGTGCTTGTGTCCCCCATCATAGGAGTCCGTTTTCTCTCGCTTCAGGACGCCGGAGTCTGTTTTCTCTTAATCTTAGAGTGCAGTGCACCAGAGACTTCGTTATTTCTCAGTAATGACACAGAATTTGAAATTGCAACCCCAATTTCAACTGGGGTTGCAATTGTTGAGGCAACTAGATATGCCTGATTACAGCAAATGTGTTATTGTCAATTTGTAGGTGAAAGATTTTATCCTCAATAGATGTAGGTTAACATTACACCTGGAGGCAAATGCTTACTAAAGCCTAAGGAAGGATATTCCTTTAACACATAATATCTTGCCAGTATGGGAAGGATCATCGTGTCTCCGTCAGGGGGTCATGGAGTGGTGGTCCAGCAGGCGTCACTGAAGTGTTTTTTTTTTTTTTTTTGGAGGGGGGGGCCACGGACGTATATGCGATCGGACGTTGTTCGGTTGGACGTTAACCGGCGCATGACTGTAGTACATTTTCTGGAAGATTTGGACAATCAGGGCCGGTATACACAAAACTTATCTGCTAATGACATATAGGCAGTCTCCAACTTATGACGGGGTTAGGGACCCAAATCCAGGTCGTAAGTCGAAAATGCGAAAATAATACATAGAAAATCTAAAATGGGTGTCTCTTTTTCTTCTCAGCACCACAAAACTCTCACTTTTACGCTTGCCAGCCATTTTAAATGGAAATAAAATTTTTTTTTGTCAGTACACAGCACAATCACTAACGTCGGGACTCAAAAATACAGTCAACCCTCACTTTACGCGGTCCCACTTTACGCGTTTCCACGTTTACGCGGTACCCTGCCGAACACGGAATGCTCACTTTCCGCGGTGTGTGTACCCTTTTACGCAGAGAGCGGCGCAAGCAGGGTGAGCACAAGGTCGCCCAGTCATCAAAAGATTACCGAGTTCTTCACCCGCCACCCACCACAGCCGGCCCAAGTCAGTGATAGTGAGGATATGGACTTATATGGACTTTGAGGGGTTTGACAAAGAGGCCCTGCAAGCCTCTGTGGTGGATAGTGATACAATTGATACAAGTGATACAGGTGAGGGCCAATAATCTGCCCTCTGCCTCGGAACCAACCCCCACCATCCCCGTGTGCCCAGCCATCTTTTCTACTAATGTAAGTGTTAAAAAACCTAATATTATTGATATTTCTCTTAATTATTAATTGTGTGTGCATACCATCATAAAATTAAGAAGTTATTTTTACTACAACGTAGGTATTGTGTCTGAAAAAGTGGAGTTTGGGGGTCGGCCCGGTCTCTATTTCAATTAATCCCATATGTTATGTTGTTCACTTTACGCGTTTCTCACTTTACGAGGGCCGCCGTGGGTTCAATTGACCGCGTAAAGTGAGGGTTCACTGTATGTAATTTAAAAAATATTTGGTACGACTGAGGCGGTCGTATGTCCGGGTGGTCGTAAGTCGAGTAGGTCGTAAGTCGAGGAGTACCTGTAATAGTTCTGTTAGCTAGCAGTAAAATTTAAAGGTTATACACAAAGGTTAACGTACAAACTTTTACTGCACAAACAGGTGTTTGTTAAGTACTGCTAAACAGCGCTAAGGATAGCAGGAGTTCATCATATAAAATGGTCTTATGGCTGAATAACCTCAATGAAGATTTATTTCAATATTTACTTTTATTTACTTTTTGATCATTAAAATACTAAATAAATCTAATCTATGTAGTTCGAAGGAGGATACATTAACCAAGGATAGTGATCAGTGGCTTGGCCCTGCCGTGCTGTTTGTAAACAAATGTTTTATTGAGGAGCAGACAAGATGAACATCACGGAAATAGAAGTCTCAACTCCAGGAAAGAAAAGGAAACCCAACTGGACAACAGACTGGACTTTATTATTGGTGGATGTCATTGAAGAGAAAAAGTTAATAATGTACTGTATTTCATGGCCGCTTCAAGCCTTTACTGAATAATAAAGACAAAAAGAGGGCATGGTTGGAAATCACCATGAGAGTCAATTGCTTTTTTTTTAATTTTTCTCTGGGTGAGTGGGAACTTTACAAACTAACAAAAAAATTTTGGTTCAGTTAGTGCATTCAGTGTCTGAGTTATAGTAAGGCTGATAGTAGGCTGAGTGGTTCCAAAATCATCACTGCTCCACAGTTGTATTCTTCCAGTCGCTAAATAATGCAAGGTTATGGCCACTTTTATCTCTGGGGTTAGAGCCCTATTCTTCCCAGTTTTACTTTGTAGTGTTTCCCTCACTAAATCAGTCACTGCCCTGATACCTGCATGGTCCAGTCGGTATTGCATTATGACTTCAGAATCACTATACTGTATTCATTAAATATATCTCTCCTTTCCTGACAAATGCGTTGCCGCCGCTGATGTTGTTGTTGGTTCGCCATGGTATCAACTAACAGACAACTATTACAGGACTTAAAAGTGCTCCAGGGTTCTTTTAACTTAAAAGAATTATTAAGGCCCTTAAAAGTTTTGTGTATGTACTATTAGTGCTTAACAGGAAAATGTCAATCTTAACAACTGTTTGTTAGCACTTAAAAAGTTTTGTGTATACCGACCCAGCTTTCTTGAACAGGTGGTTCCCCCTTTTAGTCCAGATCTTCGAGGGTTCACTATATAGTACTACTGTATATATGAAGGACAGTGTTTGTTTATCTGTTCACTATGCATGGATAGGGTTTTGAAGATACAGAAGTGTCCAAAAGGAGGAATTTGGGGGAGTTAGCCCTGAGAGGCTGGGTTCAGTGCCAGGAGCCATACAGTATGATAACAATTGCCTCACCGTTAGCACCCTTCCATATTTATGTAATGCAGAAAAGAAAAATCACTTCTTACCCTATCCAATGATTCACAAATCTAACTATAAATTGAAACATTTATATTATAACACAAACGTCATTTAAAAAAAAAGTAAATAATTTTTAAAAATTCAAAGAAAATAGATAAAAGAAATTAGAAATTATCATACAGGAGGTCACACAGGTACACTGGCACCATCTGGGTTACAGTCACTTGCTAGCTAAGAGATGTGCATGCACTTCTTGAACACAACCACATTTTTTTTTACTGTATACAGTACGGGTATATGTCACTGGGAGGCTCTTCACAATGTGAAGTTCACAGGCCACTTGATATGTCCTCTTATATGTGTCATGAGTGATCGCAATTTGATATGACACTCAAATATGACAGAGAGTACATGTACTGTAGGTACTTGTTTTCATGTATTATGTGTGGTAACAAGTTAATACGGTGTTAGCATGAGGGAGTCATCTGTCAGTCCAGCACTCTGTGGCTTTTTTAACAAATTTCTTACTTCTGACTCAGTGACTATGTATTTGTGTAAACAGTGTATTGAGGCATTACATCTTGAGTTGTGGGGGACCTGCCCTGTGCTCTTAAGTGGATTCACTTCATAACAGAGTAAGGTGAGTAAGGGAGCGTTGCTGTGATTCTCGCTATCTATCCCTCCTCCCTATGGGGTGGTGAGGTGAGTTGGATCTGGAGTGGTTATTCAGCTCTAAGTACTTTGTAACCATTGTTAATAAACAGGTCAGTGTCTCATGTTCCCAGCAAAACTCTTAAATCTCTCTCCCATTTTAGGATACCCTCTTACCAACTGGATATCCTCTGTGACCATGGTGTTTAACGTACTGTAATCTAATTTTCTAATTTTTTCAGATTATACAGGGAGTCTCATATATTGCACACAGTAGGAAAATTAATAGTCTTTTCAGGTGAGGGAATCATAACAATTTGATGAAGATTGGGTGAAAAGAACCATTTGAATGGACAATAAGGTCTCCAGACTTCACACCTTTTGATTTGTTCCTTTGGGGTCACCTAAAGTCTTTAGCCTTCCAAGATTGTTCAAAAAGCTTTTATGTCACATAAATGGTCCTCATTGACCAGTCTTTTTTAACTTATGATTTCTTCACCTGAAAAAGAGAAATATAAAAAAATATTGATTTTTCTATGGTGCATGAGCTATGAGACACCCTGTAGACCCCAGTCACATTTTTTTTTTAATGGGGATTAGCCCACCCGGGCACAGGTCTCTGACCCACATCGGGGCCTGGGGGGCCAAAATGTAATACTGTAGTAGTAATAATAATAATAATAATTCTTCATAGTACAGTACTGTAAATAAAATTTATAATAAAAAATACAAAATTTTAAATAAAATAATAAAATAATGATAATAATAATAAAAAATAATAAAATAATGATAATGATAATAATAATAATAATAATATTAATAATATTAATAATAATAATAATAATAATAATAATAATAATAATAATAATAATAAAGAACCATAAAGAAATACAAATATGAAAAAATATCAAAAGTGAAAAACGATATATGTATGTTGTGTTGTCAGTAGAAAGAGAAACAATTGAAACCTCGCAATTGTGTGTAAATGAGGCAGAAGTCAGATCGGCAAACTGGGACTTGGTCACAATTTTCGTAATGCCATATGTCAGCAGGGTCTACCATTAGACAACACATTATGCTTCTAATATTTTCCCAGGCAGTAGTACCTCCCTGTTTGTTAGCTGCCTACTACCTAGTGGGGACCTGGCCCAATTTGGGACCCTGGAGCTTGGGGTTATGACTTCTTGACTTGCTGGCTATACAGAGTTAATAATAATGAAGTGGGATATCAGGATCAATCCACTATTTATTATATTCTATCACTTTGCAGTGCGGTAATAGTTTTAAGGATGATTTCAAAACCCGCATTCATCTGCACAGCCAAACCAACAGATAAAGAATTTAGTTCACTTTTGCTGATGTGCTATGCAAGATGATCTCTGATTGGCACTCTTAATCTCTGTATGCAACCCTGGTTGGCTTGTCTTCTAGTAGAATTTTTTTTGGGAGGTTGCACAAAATTAGAATTCCTTTTGAAACTTAATACTGTACCTTGTTCTTGATTAACAGTTGTGTGATCCGTCTTTTTCTTAATTACGGGTACAGCATTCTTGCTCTGAGTTTTCTTAGGAATACACTGATAATTTTTGTAAGTGTAATATCTCTAATGTGTGATAAGTTACATAATTTTTCATTTACTTTATTTAATTTCTAATATAATGAAAAATAAGAAAACATTTATTTGTTCTTGCCAGCTGGTTTTGATGTTCTGACCACCCTGAACAACAGAGTAGGAATCTCCCTTTTTGCAGTTGATGAAGCTCACTGTGTCAGTCAATGGGGACATGACTTTAGGACTACTTACAGGTTTGTGAGAAGTGTGATGTTGTATGGCAATGAAACATTGACAGTTATAGAGGATGACATACACAGTCCAGTATAGGCTTGAGTGAACTGAAGTGACAATGGTCAGATGCATGCTTTATAATGTTGAGAGATAGGAAACCCTGTTCAAAGCAAAGAGGGCAGTTGGATATTGGAGTACATGTATTGGTGAGGTTTTGCTCAGAAGAAAGTAGAGATGGTTCAGGCATATGGAGAGAATGGAGGAGACCAATTGGGTCAAGAGATGAATGAGTTAGAATGTGAAGGGAAGGACAACTAAGGGTAAGGCAAGAATAACATGGAGAGGTTATGAGAAATGACCTCAGAGATAAAGAACCTGACAAGAGAGGTTACAAAAGATCATGTGGCTTGGAGGTCTGCCATCAGGTAATCAAGTTTAACCCACAGAAGTTTAGAAAATGGCTGTGAATGGTAGTGGTGATGGTTTGTCAAAGCTTATTAAAGTCTATACAGAACTATTGTTTAGGTTTTTGAGCGCTTATTTAAAAAAGACAGACCTGTACTGTATCACAACTGGAAGGTGGAGAACATTATTTCTTATTGAAAAAAAAGGGTGAATATTGCTTAACCTTTGCACTTGGCTCCATTACCAGTGTGCAATTTGGATGATTGATATTGGTGGTTGACTTATAAGTAAGGTAGAAACTCTGTACTTTCTATAAGGAATGAGTATTGGACATAGCAAATAAACAACCCATTGCCTGAGAATTAAATATTTTCTCAGGCGGCTTGGATCCTTGCGGAAGCACTTCCCGAAAATCCCAATACTAGCTGTAACAGCCACTGCAACTCATCGCGTACGCCAGGACATTTGTGCATCACTTGGACTAAGGTATGTTTCATGTTATACTCTTAATTTTATATTACATTGTGAATACGAAAAGGATATACACCCCTTGTACAGTACTGTACTGTAGTAGGGTATTATATTTGTCCATCTGTGTATCTGCATGTATGGCTTTACATTTGGTCATTTTGTGTTGAAACTTCAGTTGCATATGTACAGTAGCTAAAACACCTATCTGTGCAGGTGGGAGTCTATATGCTCCGAAATTTTACGTGTGACTAGTGACAGCCCTCATATACCAAAATTTATCGTCCATGGTCTCATATTGTTTCCCACAAAGTATGCACAGATAGTTGTTTTAGCTACTGTACATTGGTGGGTACTGCACTTTTATAAAATTTCAAAATAAAGTCATTATGACCTTGTTTAATAATAATAATAATAATAATAATTGACGGTTTATTGAAAAAGTTCTGCAGCCCGAAGGCTGAAAATATACATTGGACATAAATGACTTATTACATACATTGGTGGTTTAACAAAAGCCTTCATTAGAGAAAGGTGAAGGAACATACAGTGAACATACAGATTAATGTAGGTGTTGAACAGCAAGCTCGTAGTGTAGTAACTCCCTCCCAGATGGTGTTATGAGGGACCTCACGTGGTGTAGTAATTACCTCACAGATGGTGTTATGAGGGACCACGTGGTGTAGTAATTACCTCACAGATGGTGTTATGAGGGGCCTCACGTGGTGTAGTAACTCCCTCACAGATGGTGTTATGAGGGACCACGTGGTGTAGTAATTCCCTCACAGATGGTGTTATGAGGGACCACGTGGTGTAGTAATTACCTCACAGATGGTGTTATGAGGGGCCTGACGTGGTGTAGTAATTCCCTCACAGATGGTGTTATGAGGGGCCTGACGTGATGGTGTTATGTAAGTAATTCCCTCACAGATGGTGTTATGAGGGACCTGACGTGGTGTAGTAATTCCCTCACAGATGGTGTTATGAGGGACCTGACGTGGTGTAGTAATTCCCTCACAGATGGTGTTATGAGGGACCTCACGTGGTGTAGTAATTCCCTCACAGATGGTGTTATGAGGGACCTCACGTGGTGTAGTAATTCCCTCACAGATGGTGTTATGAGGGACACGTGGTGTAGTAATTCCCTCACAGATGGTGTTATATGAGTGAGGTTTGGTCCCAGGCCTTCCTATCGTAGACGGATTAACACATCGGTGGTTGTTGTTGGGTCTCGCGGGCCATTATCACTGGGTACCTGGGACCTCACTGTGTGAAGGTTAACTTGGGTGCGACTGTTACTGTTGAGTTGTTCTCACTGACTTAAGCACTGTTCACCACTGTTCACCTCTGTTTAACACTGGTTCCGTTCCTTTCCTAAATGAAATTGTAACTTCTGGCGAGAACTTGTTGATATTCCGGTGGGGAGGAGGGTTCAGGGGAGGGGGTTGGTATGGACCAACTTAACAGTTGACCTGGCTGCTCCGAGAGGAGCGCCAGGTACGTCTTGACCCTTCGGTGGTCAAGGATGGTGTTCAATTCTTTATAGTCAGCAAGTCTCGAGATTTTGTGGCTGAAATGTTAAAAAATATATAATGAGCTGCCAGGCCCAAGTTGTTATAGGTTTTAGGCTTTTCTATTTTCCAAAATTTTCAGGAAATCAAAGGATAATTTGCTAATTACAGCCTGAACAATTGAGGCAGAGCACTTCCGTGGGTGAGAGATTTCCGGTTAACCAGATGATTTTCTCGAACATGGATAAATCCCCCATCCCCGGAAATTCTTCTGGTTACTGGGAAAAGTTTCTAAGTGTCTAAACTGCACATCTTGCACAGACAGACACTAGCCCACATCATCAGAATGTTTCTGGGTGCTGGGGAAAGTTTACAAGAGTCTAAACTACCGGAGTCTGTAAAAGCAGTTCTAATTAAGTTAGAAACTCCATTTCTTTACTAGGATAATCCATAATAATTTATCTAAAAGTTTGGTTTAATAAATATATTTAAAAACAAAAAATCTATATGATACTGCAGTGAATGAAGCTGTGTGTTACAGCAAAGACTGGTATTTTAACTCCCATGGAGCTGTGGGGGATTAGTGGGTCTCCTGTAGCTGACCTGACTTGCTGCAATGTCAGGTGGAGGTAGGGTGGGTGATTAGTGGTCTCATATTACTTACCATCTGATGGAATGTCAGGTCACCCATTGTTGGATGAGGGATTAGTGGGTCTCATGACCTGAAGGTGTTTTGAATAAAGACAAAAGCTAAAGTACAGTATTTTTTAGGGGGATTGTGATAAGTGTAAGCATAAATGAGCAACGATGTATCCCTTCAACATTACGTTACACAACACTTTAAAACATGGAGTGAGAATGCAGAAAGGTGTGGGTAATTAGAGAGATGGAGTGGAAACGAGTGGTAACATGCACAGGTGTTGTCAAGCACTCCGCTCCTCAACAGCTGATCTTTTAATTTGCCACCACGCAGTCACACACTTGTGCATCAGTTAACCATGCATCAATTTATGTCATACAATATGGGGGGTGTGTGGTTGGTGTTAGGGTGTGATGAATAATAAATCGGCAATATTGTATCGTCAATGACAGTCGTTTGATGAATAGTAGCATACTACTATGGTCACTACTATTCATCAAACTACTATACTGTCATTAACAATAAAATATTGTTTATTTATTATTCATTAATTAATACCCCAACACAACAACATCACACACACATACATGCATGCATGCACACATATCTAGAGTTTACAGTCTTTTGTGTTAGCCACTGTGAATTGGAGGGAGGCAGGTAGCAGGCAGGGAGTGAGGGGGGCAGGGAGCAGGCAGGGAGGGAGGCAGGGAGCAGGCAGGCAGTGAGCAGGCAGGCAGGGAAGGGGGCAAGCTGGCACTGGCATTTTCACCAATGATTTTATTTACCTGTATTCATTATCATATTCTCGTAGGGTCAGCCTCTTAAGGTGTATGTTTTATCATTTATAATATAAAATGTTATACAATATAGAAAAAATACAATATATACAGTTGTACCCCACTTAACGCGGTCAATTGAACCCAGAGGGTCCCGCATTAAGTGAAATCCGCGTTAAGTGAACAACAGAACATATGGGATTAATTCCAATAGAAACCGGCCCGACCCCCAAACTCCACTTTTTGAAGGCACATACCTATGTTGTAGTAAAAATAACATCTTAATTTTATGATGGTACATGCACACAATTAATACTTAAGAGAAATAGAGAAATACAGTCGCCAAGTTAATGTCCATTCAAATAATGGACTCAACTCCCTCCCACTCTCACACTACACTGCCGGCTCTTCCCTCTCAGAGAAATTTTTGGGGGAAAACCACTAAATTTTAATAAATAATACCTCAAACTAAAGTTAGGATAATACAATTGACATTGCTGGATTCCTTGTAAGACCAGGAATATTTTGAATATAAATGTCATATATTTTGCACAAAAGATAACATAGTTACCTAGAGAAAAATTTTTATCTAAAATTTGTATGTTTAATGCAAAATATATGATGTTTATATTCAAAATGATCACCAAATTATAAGAATTCCAGCAATGTAAATTATATTCTGACCGGGTAATTTGTATGAATTTTATGAGCTAAAACAAATATCTTCAGTTAATAAAAAAAAAAATAATCTTCACGACACTATCTGTCAATCAAAGTACCCCACCTTGCCTCCCCCCCTCTTCCAACCGCGCGGTCAGTCCCAACCCTCCCCCCCACCCCCCACCAATCCTCCCTTCCAGAGTTTTTAACATTTAGTATTAAATAATACCTCAGATTAAAGTTAGGATAATATAATTGACATTGCTGGATTCCTTGTAAGACCAGGAATATTTTGAATATAAATGTCATATATTTTGCACAAAAGATAACATAGTTACCTAGAGAAAAATTTTTATCTAAAAATTGTATGTTTAATGCAAAATATATGATGTTTATATTCAAAATGATCACCAAATTATAAGAATTCCAGCAATGTAAATTATATTCTGACCGGGTAATTTGTATGAATTTTATGAGCTAAAACAAATATCTTCAGTTAATAAAAAAAAAAATAATTCTTCACAGGGTAACAGATGGTCGGTCGGTCCCTCCCTCCCCCCACCCCCCACCAACCGTCCCAAGGAGATGTGTGGGATAACCACTAAATTTTAATAAATAATACCTCAAACTAAAGTTAGGATAATATAATTGACATTGCTGGATTCCTTGTAAGACCAGGAATATTTTGAATATAAATGTCATATATTTTGCACAAAAGATAACATAGTTACCTAGAGAAAAAATTTTATCTAAAATTTGTATGTCTAATGCAAAATATATGATGTTTATATTCAAAATGATCACCAAATTATAAGAATTCCAGCAATGTAAATTATATTCTGGCCGGGTAATTTGTATGAATTTTATGAGCTAAAACAGGCAGTCAGGCAGGGTGGTGGGTGGGGCAAATCTAAAAATAGCGTCTCGAGCCGGACACTCACCGCGTATATGTGGAAAAAATCCGTGTTAAGTGAAAGTTCAGCTCTGGCAAGGCACCGCGTATATGATAAAACGCGTAAAGTGAAACCGCGTTAGGCGGGGTAATACTGTAATAAGTAATTTGACATAAAAATTACACGACAAACCAAATAATAAGGCAATTTTTTCACCTAAACTCCACTGGGAGGAGGGTGGGTGGAGGGTAGGCTTAGCCATTAACAAATTTCCACTTTTTTATTTAATCATTACACTGCTGATACATTTTAAAAATAAGTATTGTATAGTACTGTATATGAAGGGTACAGGCATTAATAAGCACATATTATTACAATTAACATATCTTTATGAATTCAATAAAAAAAAAAAAAAATTAGTTAAAGTTGGAATGGCAGGGGTGGAGAGGAGTGGGAGATGAAACTTTTTTGGGGTGAACGGTCAGTTTCTCCCCCCACCCCAAAGGTCTCTTCCACTTCCCCTCCTCACAGCACTACC